TTGAATGGTGCTCTTGAGTGTGTGGATGAATGCATGTTTTAGCGCTGCAGTTTTGCTGGAATGTGCAGAGGCATGTTGAGTCGTGTTATTTGGGTTTTATGTTATTCTACATGCTTTGTTGTCATATCAATATATGTGACTGGTTCTTGTGAGTTTGTTCTTGTCATTGTGTTAATTACGTTGATTTTGACTATATGCATTGTCCGTTAATGACGAAGCATCCCGTCATGCACGTATTCATGTATCTGCACTCTGCAGTTAGTGTATTTGTAGGTGTTGAGCTTCATGTAACATTTTATTTCACTTGTCAAACGTTGCAGTGTTATGTGAATATGCGTTTTTTACACGAAACAAATAATAATCCGTAGCTGTGGCGTCATAATGAGGTTATTAGGAGGTGGTTCAACTGTAGTAGGACAGACCTGAAGGCCCAGGTATAAAACACACGGCCCGCCACTGGTATCACTATTACACAACATTTAACCATGACTAGCTCCAAATCCAGTAAACCAGCCTAAAAATATTTATTTTCATTCCTAAAAAGCAAATCATAGGAGGCCTCAATATGCTTCAAAATTCTGTATATGGGTTAGATGACCAAGGCGGTGTTTGGTTTCCGGTTCGTAACCTCTACCTCTTCTACTCGGTTTACTGGGGGATTACATCCATGCAAACCTCTAGCGCCAACTTCTGAGGGTATTTACTACAAACTAGTTGACGGAAATTACCTCATTTTGTATTTCATTTTGTTCATTTTTTGGCAACATTTCTAAAGTTTGCTTTAAAATTTGCTTAACAAATGACATCAAACCTATCTTTGATACATCTGTTAATTTCGTATTGGCTGACACGCTACAGATATATCAGTGTAAATTATATTGGGCTCCTATGTTAAACAGTATGTAACATATCTCTAAGGCTGAGCCCGGCCACCCTACGGAGGAAGCTCATTTCGGCCGCTTGTAGCCGCGACCTTGACCTTTCGGTCACGACCCAGAGTTCGTGACCATAGGTGAGGGTAGGAGATATTGATGTTTTGATAAATGTATTGATGACATGGATCAACCTGATAACAGCAGGGAAGTCTGCTGTATTTTTGAATGCTTTTCTGTTGGCTTGTTGTTGGTGCACACATCTGCTGCCCCACTTCCAGGGTAGCTTCCCACGAGCTTCAGTTTTTAATGTGTTTTTTTCAGAAAGGGTTTTTTACCTTTCCCTGCTCTTTCTAAAAAGTTAGTTTCACATGCTAACTATGCAAAATGCTATTTAGATGCAGATTTTAAAGGGTGTTATATTTCCATGAAGAAATGATAAGTATGAAGTTCTCCCCCAGACTTTTCACAGCCAGAGTATTGAAAATCTCGTAGGTGGGTGAGCAGCTCCTTAGGGCAGTTAGCAGGTACTATTGACTGACACCCATTAAATTGTTTTTGTAAACCCTCCTACACTAAATGATTTGTTTCATTTCTCACCTGGAATAAATACAGAAATGATTTCTCCAGGCAGGGAATCATCAATATAATGTTTTAGAAAAAGAAAAAATCTGTACCAATGTACCAGCATATTATTCTAACCCTAGGTTACAGATTGGGATTTTGAGAAAAGTGAATAATTGTAATGCACTGAACTACTGAATATAATGATGGCTATCATGATGTCATATGTGATTGGTTAAATATGGTGGCAGACATTCAGGAGCATTTGGGCTTCCTTGTGATTGTTATCCTTTAAATCAAGCTCATGGCTCTATGGATGGCCATGTCTGTTGTGTCCATCACTTTGGTCCAGATTGAAATATCTCAACTATTGGATGGAATGCAATAAAATGTTGTACATTTATGTTCCAAGGAGGATGAATTACTTTGATGGTCTCTCCTTTATAATTTTGAGTGAAATATCTGACAACTATTGAATGGATTGCCATGACATTTGGTATGGACGTGCTTGTTCCACATAATAATTTGTGATAACTTTAATGAACCTCCATTTTTTCAACATGTCAACATTTGCAACTGAGTGTTCCTCAGCCATAAATGTAAAGCGGACTTACATTTTAGATATTTATTATTTAGTTAGTTTGAGACATTAGTAATTTTCCACTCCATGAAAACACTTTCAACGCATTTCTCTTGGCCATAGTGTTAGAAAATGTGGGCTAACACTTAATCGACGCCGGGAGCAGCTGATTTTTCAGCAAGTTTACAAGAGGTATTCGTGTCATATCTTGTCTGACCTGTTTTCAGTTTATTTCTCCCCACAAAAGCTATCCTTCAAAAATATATAATGCAACACTCTCAGCTTTGTCCATGATACAAGACAGGCAACCAGGGAAGAAAAGAAGTTATTCAACTGGTACTTAAACTTTAACTTAAATTTGGCATTCTCTCTTGAAGCATAACCAAACAATAGTTTTCTTTATAAATGAATGTAGCAATGTTTGTTTTAATTTTTACTAGTTTATTCAATAAAGTGTCAGAAAATAGTAGCTGGATTCTCGCAATATCAAAACATCAAACAAGAAGTTTCACTCAATAGTGCTTATCTAGTCCTACGATGACTCTTACGTCCTAAACTTTACTACATGTCACACCCATCATACACTGATGGCAGGGGTTAAGTGTCTTGTCCAAGTACATATCGACAGACTAGACAGAGGACCGAACCCCCGCTCCTCTGATTGAAGGACGACCCGATCTATCACTGAGCCCCCTAAATCCATCTTGTCAGGCTTCAAGTAATGCGTTTGTGTCCGAACCACAGTGTCCTTCGAGGAGTAATTCTGGCAGCTATGGGCGGGATTTAGGTGTGTGTGACGACACAGAGAGGCAATAGCATCAGTTACATCAGAACTTGAGTATTTCTTCATTGAACAAAGAGCAAAGAACTACACGGACGCTCTTCTCCCTATTAACCAACTGACTTCACTGGTAGTCCATTGATTGGTTGCCCCGTGGGTTAGACAATGATGGACAGATGGTTCATCCAATTACCTGCCAAGTATTTTTTCAACCCCAACAAAGCAAAAAGCACTATTTATTACAGAGGAACTTTTCATGAGCATATTTTCAAAAATATCTTTTAAACTCACATCCTTTGCAAATGATGTCCCTTGATGAACATTTCTTGGAAAGGATTGGGAGCAGTCTTCTTCACATTTATTTGATGCTAATGCTTTTCATCAGGCTTGGCATTATCCTGAATATGTTCTGAAACACAGATTAAAGTGCAGTGAGTAAAATGATTTCTGCTCGTTTGCAGTGTGAATGATTGGCCTTGTACAAAGAGTTGTTCCTGTAACGGGTGTGGTAAGGACCCAGGAGCAGTACAACAGACACACTGGATGGAATCAAAGCTTTATTTTCCTCTGGACACACAACAGGTAACAGTCTTTGAATAGCACCGATGGATAATCCCACACGGTGGAACGACAAGCCGTTAAGGGAGAAGGCAGACAGAACCCCGAGGAAACAGCGGCAGGATCTCGTGGTCGGGGACAGAAGACTGTGAATTACCGGGGGAGAGGCGAGGCGGATAAGTCCAAAACAGGCAGGGTCGGTAACGGGAAATCAGTCGGAGGGTAAACACTGGAAGGTCTGTCATGAATGCGGAGAACGATCTGGCAGTGAGTGTGTGTGTGACTGGGGGCTAAATAGTGGATGCAGCAGAGTGAGCAGGTGAGAGTGATGAGCTGATGAGGTGGGTGTGACTAGCAGGTGCACTGAATAAGCTGATTAGGTGAGTGAGAGACAGAAAAACAGGATAGTAGTGTCAGAGCTGTGACAGTTCCATTCTATTTGGTTTTGTTAATCTTCTGTCTGCAGGTTTGTGTCTTTGTGTGGCTTACCTGACAAGTAATGGTTAATAAGAGCAAAGAGAGGAGTGTTATTCCTCTTGACCGTCTGTCATTCACACCCTTTAGTACAAAGCTTTGGTCAAAATCTTTGAGAGCAACAAACCATTTACCTCCATCTATTCCTGCATGTTTGTGTCTGTATTTTTGTGCGTATTGTAGCCATAACTGGTAGTGGTGTAATGGGCCGTGGTTGATCCATGATCTGTGCGAATCCCCCCTCACGGTTCGGCACGCACATGAAGCACAGAATTATTACATAGACACTTGAATAAATACAGCTGTTTGAAAACGATGCCTTTACAGCATTATAAAATATATATTACGGAGGGAACTATGACATGTTTCACTTCATAACATTAGCTCAAAGTAGCTTATATTAAAACTTTTCAAGATTTAGTTTTTATCAATAAAAAATACAATCTTTTATTTCTTAATCATTTGAACTGTGTGCAAATAATCACTATAGATGACTACAGCAAAGTAAAAGGATAACACTTAGAACCTTTGATGGTTTACTGACTTCAGAGTGGTTTTGAGACGGTGGAGTCTTGTAGACCAGCTGCTATAATCAACAAAAACAATCTGTTTTTGCCAATATTGATCATCAAAAGATGGCAATTTGTATCGACGGCAATAAAAGCATGATCGGGGTTCTCCAAAAGTTATATTCGCTCTTTTTTTGTGCTGATCCGATTTGTCACTCAAAACCGTGAGTGTTATGAGCCGTTGCACCCCTAAAAACTGGAGTTAACTGAGGTATCTAGTCACTGTTGTTCAGCCTCTGATATGATATACTGTGTATGGTGTTTAAATCATAAAACACCATGGTTAAATATTGAAGGGTTCTAATGGCCACTAGTTTCTGACCCGACTCCCTGATGGATCAGAAAACTTTCTTTTGCTGCCAATAAGCAATTAAATGTATTTACACAGAGTTAAATCATAACATAAGTTACCTCGAGAAACTTTTCATGTAGAGCTGGTCTAAACCGTACTCTATAATTTACCCAACATTCCCCCATTGGCAAACGTTGGGTGATAGTGGCAAGAAAAAAGGTTAATATTTGACAAAATATATAAATACAACTTGACTATATTTTTAAAACTATTTTCTCACTTATATTGTGTTGTTGTTTCTTTACTGCAGCTCCCTATCCTGGCCTCCTCTGTTGTCAGTCTTTATTTCCTGGAGCTGACCGATATATTCCAGCCGGTGCATTCTGGGTACAGTTGCAATGACCGCAGTCTGTCTCTGCCCTACATCCTGCCCAGACAGGAAGTCTGCACACTGCCTCTGCTCTTCAGCTTGGCCTTCGCCGCTCCCACCGCAACAGTAAGTCATCACCCCCACACTGTACCTCACATTAATATCTACGAACCGAAGGCTTACGAGCCGAACAATACGTTTGAATAATACTAGTGCATTTGGAAAATGCAGAAGCTTAAATTGTGGGAAATATAATCGGTGCACTCAACCTGGCAACCCACCCAGCGTAACAGACAACATGCTGCCACCACGGTTCTGCTAGGCTATACTAAACTAGCTTAGCAGGAAAACAACACGCATAAACTCACGCTACAAGCACACATGCTACAAACTCTCCCCGTAGCGTTTAGCTGTTCCCTACTGATTCAAACAGGGCTAAAGCAATCGCCACACAATCCCCATTTCTCCAGACCATAATTCCTGCTTTGTAAAAGAAAACAAAAGCCCAAACAGAGAATCAAATGTCCGACCCTAACCTCGCGATGACGGCATGCTTCGTCAAAATTAATGTAATTAACACAAAGAACAAACTCAGAAGAACCAGTCACATATATTTATATGACAACAAAGCAACAAATCAATCCAGAAAACTGCGGCGCTAAAACACATATTCATCCGCACACTGAAGAGCACGAGCCATTCAAATATTATTCACATCAGAGGGAACAATATTAACCATATCATAAAAACGACACGATAGACAAATGAACACAGTAGTAACGCTACTGCAAAAACACAAAAGCAGTTCACTTACCACAGCTGCTGTTCACTTAAAGACAAAGTCCATCCTCCTTTCTTTGATTACAAAGAGTTTAATGACGCGGTTGAACAGAACATCGGTGCGGTTCAGTTCCAGCCAGAGGTCCTCCTGCGAACGTGTTCGTTGAGTTATTGATCCATTTGGGTCTCAGCAAAAGTTTTCAAAAACACCGTAGCTTGTAAGTTTCGTGTCGTGCTATGGTGTCTTGTTGCTGCCTTGGTTAGCCACCTCAGCTTAGCAAATCTAGCATAGCTCCAAACACCAAGACGCTCACTCGCAAATAAAACTCATTCTTAGCCATAAAATGTGTAACGCTTCTCCGACACTGTCAGCCAGGAATACCATTTGTACAAATCCTTTTCCTGGCTGGGTCAGGGCTGCTAGCTGTGGGGTTGGCTGACCTTTTCTTACAGCTTTTCTGGAAATGTCCTTCAGAAAGCTGTTGCCAGTAACTCCCAAATCTGTTTCTCCTCCTTCAGCCATTGAGTGTTAAAAAAACAAAGCCACACCAAGCAAAACGCTAAAAATATCATGTCAATGTCATAACCTCTTATATCTTTCAACTTGGACTCTTACTACTACTAAGTTCTGCTAGCTAGCTTTCAGCTTCACAACAGTGCCGCTAGCCCACTGACCAATCACGGCGCACGTTAATGCTGAGCTGCACGTTAATGCTTATGTACTTGTAGGCCACGTAGGAAGCTCTGACATGTCAAAGAATACGCCCAACATGTCAAACTATAGATCTGATTGGTTGAAGACTATGACGATCAACAATATCCCCCATTCACTCAAACTGCAAAGGCTTCCTAGAGCACCTCAGGCCTCTCTCCTTACATAGAGACATAGGGGCGGAATCTGATTGGATAAAAGCTCTACTTAAAACAAGCTAATGGGAAAAATAATTTGAAAACATGTAGTGTATTTATGAAAAATTATGAAATTATAAAATAGCTATAACTTTGTGATTCTGTTTAGGCCAGCAGAGAAGGCTTTGGTGGCCCTGACGGCCCACCACTGGATTATACATGTAGGGAGGAGCTGTTGTGAGAGGTAACAGAAAAACGCAAACATAAAAAACTTCAAATTCCATTTAAATAGTTTGACGACTTCAAAAAGATTGCAGAATCTAGTATACAAGTGTGTTAAACTTGTATTCTCTCTACTGGCCATCAGGGGGTGACTCCTCTGGTTGTATAGAAGTCAGATTGTACAGAAGTCTCTGAGAAAATGACCCTACTTAAACATCGTATACATGAGTTTATGGTTATACTTTTTAGTTTAAAGTCTTCTTCAATACAGCATGGTATTCATTTTGTAAATTATGGTCCATTTAGAGCAGGGGTCTCAAACTCATTTTCACTCCGGGCCACATCAGCATCATGGTCGCCCACAAAGGGCCGGTTGTAAATGTAACTACTTGTAACATATTGGTAAATAACTCTCTGCATTTGATTATTGTTTATTCAAGTGTAAAAATATTGTACATGCAGTTATATAAATGTATAAATATATTTAAGCACATTTGTTATTAGAACTTAAATCCTTTTAACCCACATTACTCTATCAAAGATCAAACTATTAAAGAAAATAGCAAACACAAATATCAAACACAAGTTATTACAATAACTTTGTTCAAAGCTTAAAATCCTTTCAAGGGTGCGTTTGCACAATCCCACGTGAAGTATTTCATGTGTTTTAAAGCCAGTTTAAAGTAGTCTTCAATGTACTCACAATACATTTCATGTCACATGTACAGTAACCAGCCAAAGAGCTGCTTCTGTGACTGTGTGTTTAAGTATTTCATAATTTTGACTTTCAATCTCATCATTTTGACTTTCTATCTCATAACTTCGACTTTCTATCTCATAATTTCGACTATGGGGATATTTTTATTATCAAGTCTAACTTCAACTTAAAAATTTTTTTTTTTTTTTTTACTTTTCTTTTTTTTTTTTTGCTGGCGGATTCGCGGGCCACATAAAATGAGGTGGCGGGCCGGATTCGGCCCGCGGGCCGGGAGTTTGAGACCCCTGATTTAGAGTCAAATAGACCATAAAGGAAGGTATGCTTCAGGGCGGGGTTACCTTGTGATTGACAGGTCGTTACCAGAGCCATATACTGCGCGTCTACCGCGGCGCGTATCCAAATAGGTCACTTCAGTTTTGTAGTGACTGATTCCTGTAACTAGCCACTCGCCTGGGTGCGGGAGAAGATCGTGTTTTCGTACTCGCTTCGACATAAAGTTTCCAGGCTTTTCGTATCTTTGGGTGAGGTTCCCATTTAATTAGAGTTCACAATTTACAATACAACTTGATATCACTTAGCTTCCTGGTCTCCCTCTGGTGTGTCTGGTTTTGCGGTAAAAACCATGCAATCTCCCCGTCACCCATGCATCATCACCTGTCTGTTGCACCTGTGCCCCATATATTAATTACCTGCCACACTAACCCACACTGCCACCCGTGGTCAACCTAAGGTAGGCTCCCAATATACATTTATAATACCCAGACCTAACTAATGGCTCCTACAAGTTTACTTGTTGCAAAAACCAAGATGGCCATGGACTCGGCAACGGGTGACGTCCTGACGACTATGTCTACTTCTTATATACAGGCTATGATCAAGCTACTGTGCTAGCACAACAACCATTGCCACCTTTCCCATCATTATGATGTTGCCATAAGTCTTTTTGCCATTTTCTGGTATGTGTGTGATGAGATGACCCAGCAGCACAGACAGTAACATCACAGCCTCTCAAAACCACATGTGTCAATGAGGGAAGAGGACATAAAGTCTGTCACAACTGCACGTCCAATATAAGTTGTTGAGGAACAACCTTAAAAAAAATTGTAACACCTAACTTAATCAGACACTTATTATATTGTAATTCATTCCCATCATGCTGCTCAGAGTAATCACAGTGAGCGGCTCATCTGCCAATAGCACTGAGCTAAACAGCTAATGGAGATTTTGTTAGTGACCACTGGTAGACAGACACTTGACTGGTAGACAGACACTTGAGTGGTAGACAGACACTTGACTGGTAGACAGACACTTGACTGGTAGACAGACACTTGACTGGTAGACAGACAGTTGACGGGTAGACAGACAGTTGACTGGTAGACAGACAGTTGACTGGTAGACAGACACTTGACTGGTAGACAGACACTTGACTGGTAAACAGACACTTGACTGGTAAACAGACAGTTGAGTGGTAGACAGACAGTTGACTGGTAGACAGACACTTGACTGGTAAACAGACAGTTGAGTGGTAGACAGACACTTGAGTGGTAGACAGACAGTTGACTGGTAGACAGACACTTGACTGGTAAACAGACACTTGACCGGTAAACAGACACTTGACCGGTAAACAGACACTTGACCGGTAAACAGACACTTGACCGGTAAACAGACACTTGACCGGTAGACAGACACTTGACCGGTAGACAGACACTTGAGTGGTAGACAGACACTTGACTGGTAGACAGACACTTGAGTGGTAGACAGACACTTGACTGGTAAACAGACACTTGACTGGTAAACAGACAGTTGACTGGTAGACAGACAGTTGACTGGTAGACAGACACTTGACTGGTAAACAGACACTTGACTGGTAAACAGACAGTTGACTGGTAGACAGACAGTTGAGTGGTAAACAGACACTTGACTGGTAGACAGACACTTGACTGGTAGACAGACACTTGACCGGTAGACAGACACTTGACCGGTAAACAGACAGTTGGCCGGTAAACAGACACTTGACCGGTAGACAGACAGTTGAGTGGTAGACAGACACTTGACTGGTAGACAGACACTTGACTGGTAAACAGACACTTGACTGGTAAACAGAGAGTTGAGTGGTAGACAGACAGTTGAGTGGTAGACAGACACTTGACTGGTAGACAGACACTTGACTGGTAAACAGACACTTGACTGGTAAACAGACAGTTGAGTGGTAAACAGACAGTTGAGTGGTAGACAGACAGTTGACTGGTAGACAGACAGTTGAGTATCAACATTTGTTTATTTATTTATTTATTTTTCAGGGACAATGCACACCAATCAACAGTTGAACTGTAAGCGAGCCAGAGTTAGCCAGAGAGTCTAATTTACATCTGCTGTCCCCAGCCAGATGTTTCAAGGCAGCCTAAAATAACAAAGTCTCAAATGGAAACGGAATTAAAATTCATAGACAAATGGACAGCAACGTATAGACAAAACCAATACAAAAGAAAAGTGTACGACATTAAAGCAGAGCAGACATAACAGGCTGCAGCATGCGTCACGCAGAACAGACTCACCTACAGGACAAGCACATATACAGTATAACACTGAAGCACATAACATACACATCAAAAAATGGAAAATAGCAACACTGAACAAGAGAAATGCACATATAGGCGAAACAAGCAGGCAGGACAGAGCACATCAATGCTTGCACGCCTGATTGGCAACAAGCCATTCCTTAAGGTTATGCTTGAATGTTTTGTACGTGTTTTGTGTGCGTATGTGTGGTGGCACAGCATTCCACGAGTGAGCTGCTGTCACAGAGAATGTAGACTTACTAAACGAGCTTGACCTTTGTGAAATGACACAATCACCTCTTGCAGCAGATCTAGTGAGTCTGCTGCTTTGAGTGCTTTGTTTAATAAAATCACTAAGTGGAGGCGGGGCCATACCATGTCAAATTTTAAAAACCAGACACACATCAGTGAATTTAATGATGTTCTCCCAACTCAGGATATGGTGTTTGGTGAGAATATTGCAGTGATGGTGACTTTTGGTTTTTTATCAAGTGTTTTTAGGGCTTGTTTATGGAGAATATGAATAGTTTCAAATGTTGTGCTGCTGGCTTGTGCCCAGCTGGTTAAGCAGTATGTCAGATGGGGGATAATCATTGCATTAAAATACAATTTTGCACTTTGCAAGCCCTCTTTGTGAAGAACATACAAACCATTTAGTTACATTTGTCATTGTGGACGTGAGTTTAAGTGCAGCTTGTTCTTTGTTCTTTGCGTGCACATAAATCACTGTATCGTCAGCGTACATTTGAATATCACACCCATCGCAGACACCAGGCAAATCATTAATGTATAAACTGAATAATAAAGGTCCCAAGATAGAACCCTGGGGTACTCCCATGTTAGATCTCACAGTAGATGATAAAACATCACCCACTCTGACACACTGGGTTCCTTCAAGGTAGGATTTCAGCAAAGCAAGAGACTCTCGGGAAAAGTTAAAATTTGACAGTTTATTAATCAGGACATTGTGATTAACCGTATCAAAAGCCTTCTTCGGGTCAAGAAAAAACGCTGCTACTACACCCCCTTTATCCATTTTTAGCTTCACATTCTCTAAGAGGAAGCAGTTGGCCGTTTCAGTCGAATGATTAGCCCTGTAACCAAACTGCATAGGATGCAGCTGATATGGAGAGCTGTAGAGATGTTTAATAAGTTGCTCTGCACACGTTTCTCAGCAATTTTGGAAACAGCAGGGAGGATACTGATTGGCCGATAATTAGAGACATCGGTTGAATCTCCTGACTTAAAAATGGGTGTTACTATGGCTGATTTCCATCCTTTCGGAAACATATTGCCTGAGAGAGTTGTTGACAATGCTTATGATCGGGTGAGCAAGTGTGCCTTAGTGTTTCTTCAGAAAAATATTGTCAATTCCATAAACATCTTTGGCCCTAGAGTTCTTGAGTGAGCCTAGAACTCTGGTGACAGTAGATTCAGAGACATCTTGAATAGAGAAGCATGGTTGACCTTCATTTACTGGTATAGGATCAAATTGACCAGTACTGGAGCTTCAAGTTAAAGCTTCCACTGAGTTGATAAAGTATGAATTGAAAGCTGTACAAATTACAACTTCATCTTGTGTAAGGCACCTGTTCACATTCATTTTAAGTTGCTTCTTTGAATTGCTGTTCTGTTTGTCTGTTAAGTTCTTTAGATTATCTCATATTATTTTAGAATTACCTCCTGCTTCATCAATGATCTTAATAAAAAAATTAGCTTTTGCTTTTCTAAGTTCTTTCTTTACCTGATTTCTCAGCATTTCTCTGCCTATCATTTCCTAATTTAGACTTGAGATCCAGTTTTAACGCATAGTCCCATTTTTTCATTAAATTCCAGATGTCACTATTTAGCCATGGAAGTGTGTTCTTTTGATTTTGTTTAATTTTGGCTTTTTTAAGGAAACTGTTAATTGTGGTCTGTATTGTGGATAAGAAGATATTGCTATCTTCCTCCACACTTGCACCCGTTAAACAGTTGCTCCAATCAATTCCTTGTATAGCATCCTCAAATGAATTTTGGTCACCTTTTGGTATTCTTAATTGATAAGCCTTCCTGGTAGAAGACATATTAAAACGTTTCTTTGTAAGTTTTCTTGTTAAAAGTATTAAATTATGGTCAGACATACCAGTTACCATATTGTGTATTTTGATCATTCTTTCTGGTTTATTGCTAAAAATCAAATCAATCTGGGACTGAGAAGAGTGGGTTATCCTTGTGGGTTTGTTCACTAACTGGGTCATATTAAAGCAATCAATCGTACGTTTTAGGGATTTTCTTCCAGATTTATCCTCCCAATTTACATTAAAATCACCCATTAATATAACCTCTTTGTCAAAGTCACATTCCTTTAACATGGAATTAAGCTGATCATAAAATTCACATTTGGACGATGGTGGTCTGTAGAGTCAGAGAAGAATAAGAGACATTTGAGATGATAGTGACACTTTCAGACCAATACATTCCAATATGACATCACTTGACGACTCAATCTGGCTGCAGTTAAGGTGTTCTTTAATGTAAAACATTACTCCTCCTGCTTTACCACTAGATCTATCTCTTCTAAATATATTGTATCCACGTACATTCAGAGCAACAGAGGGTGAGTTTATATGTAGCCATGTTTCTGAGAGACATAGAAAGTCCAGGTTTGAATCCACAACAAGATGTTTTATTTGGTCCATTTTAGGCAAGAGTCTTCGAATATTCAAATGCCCCCCAAACAGTCCTTTAGGTCTTGTGTGCGTATCCCAGAGCACCCTGGCATGATTGACCGTTTTGAAAAGTTTATGTTTACGTAATCTTCTGATAGCTGGATTCAGGCCACTTTGTTTCACTTTCGTTGTTACAGCACAATGTTTGGAGTTTTCAAATTGTTGTGAGCAGGTATCCATATCAGCGTGTCAGTCAGTGGACTAAAATGATTGACAATTGAGTTTGTATTATCAATGGGTAAAATGTCTCCTCCGTCGCAGTATGTGTAGATGGTGTTGTTCTCAGGACTCACTCACTTGTTGGTGTTGATCCGGACGCCAGACCGGTTGGTAGCTGGCCTGCTGCTGCTGGGACCTGAGTGTAATCTGGTGGTACGTGGCATGCTGCTGGGGCCTGGACCTAGCCTAGTTGTAGCTGGCATGCTACCGCTAGGGCCTTGGCCTAGCCTGGTTGTAGCTGGCATGCTACTGCTAGGGCCTTGGCCTAGCCTGGTTGTAGCTGGCATGCTACTACTTTGGCCTGGGCCAGACCTGGTGGTGGCAGAAAGTTTGTTTCTTCCATCCAGTAGTTCACATTTATCTGGATGAAGAGTAGAGCCACCCATGCATTGCTGTTGATCAGTAGCCAGCAGTCCCAAATGGAAAATATCTTATCATATCAACATTGTTGATAAATGACCTCAAACATATCTTCGTCATTTCTAAACCACAATTTCATGTTGTTCTTCAGCCAACACGTGCAATAAGATAATATTTGCTGATAAATTCGCCAGACATCCTTTTATTGTGAATTCACAGTACACGTATAACAGCACTGTTGATTGCATCATTGTTGTTGCTTGTTATCTTCTCAGCACGAAAGGGCAATGACCCAACTGTTTGTCCACATCTTTTGCTGCTTCTGCTGCTTTTGATCCTTTCCACGCTGCAGTGTTGCTGCTGCTGCTGCTTGCTGTGTCAATTGACAAATCTGCATCATGTCTTACATGAAAATTGTGACTTATTTGTCACTCGGGCTTCACTACTCCACTGAAAAGACTAAAAATAGAAAACATACATGAAACAAACATGGTTTGAAATGATTTCCACATGGTTTTCCACTGCATGAGGTTTGACTGGAGCTCTTTTCATTAAGTGATCTATCTTATTGTGTCCTCTTCTTCTGCTACAGTTTAATGACATTCGACTAGAGAATTAGTGCCACCAACTGGTTATCTCGATGCGCCCAACTCTTAATATTCGCATAACAGCAGTTGATTCATGTTTTTTTCTGTTGATGTTCCTTCAATTTCAATTTATTTTCAGTTTATTTTTGTATAGCCCAAAATCACAAATCACAAATTTGCCTCAGAGGGCTTTACAATCTCTAAAGCCAGGTGTTAAAAATCTGGTCTAAAGCCAGATCAGTTAATCTTAATGCACCATTTATATCAGAGAGCCAGCACATCTAGTTCACCTTCTTTGCTTGTGTTTGAACTTCATTTTGATATGACTTTTCACATTTTGAGATTACATAAAGTACATTTTTGACCTTCGAAGCAGTAGGTTGACAAAGAAGCAAAACGTAATACTAGCTTTTTTTAGAGTATCTTGCAGTCTTACTCGTCTGGGATGGAAATCTCTTGATTTTTTTTGTCAAATTTTTGCATTTAATCTTCTATTTAAAGTGTAAATAAATAATCGAAACCATAAACTCAAATTCAGGTATCAGTCATGACAGTGGGACATTAACAATAATAAATTCCCTAATAATATTGGATGTATTTGGTGATTTAAAATCTCTTCTTTGTCTGTGTCTGTGTGTAGATTCTGATAGGAGAGGCCATTCTGTACTGCTATCTATCCAGGAGGTCATCAGCCACACAGACGGAGGCCAACATCAACGCTGCAGGCTGTAATTTCAACTCCTACATCCGCAGGGCTGTACGCTTCATAGGTGGGAGGACACATGCTTTATGCACACAACTGATTATATGCATGTTTTCAGTAACTGAACCACAGACAACAGGCAACAGCTCGAACAGCAACATGTTCTACTAATCTGGTGTTTGCTGTTGCTTTTCCCAGGTGTCCATATCTTCGGCCTGTGTGTGACAGCACTGATAACTGATGTTCTCCAGCTGTCCACTGGTCAACACACACCCTATTGGTTGGATGTGTGTAAACCCAACTTGACCCACATTAACATGTCCACCTGTGATGAAGCTTTTATTCTGGAGGATATCTGCTCTGGACAAGATGCTGGGCTCATCAATGCTGGGAGGTAAGGCTTAGTTTTACCAAGCGACTGACTGTGGGAGTGTGGGAGTGATCTAGTGAGTGTGTCAGAGGATGTGTGTGGGTGAGTGGGTCCTTTTTAATGTTTAGTTTTAGCACACTCACACATGAACGGGCTATAATCTTCTTGTAGCTGCAGACTCATTTTCCCTGTTGTTATGGTTACAGATCTGCTCAGCGGACAAGTGTTCAAACAGACAATATGGGCTAAATAGTAGAACTCTACATCATCACTGCCAAGGTCATGTACTACAACATGGGTTGGTGACAACATGGCTGTTTTACTGTGACAAAATGATAAATGACACATATTAAGCCAACATTGAGCTCACTTAAAGCACCTACACACCCATCTGCACAGCCCCACTGATGTTTCACTTATTGGCTGGTCCACCAAAAACTGCAGTTTGTCAATAAAATGAGAATTGCTGGTCCACCTTGAGATCAGCCAATTTAAGTAAGCCTGGGCTGTGGTTGTGTCTAACAGCCCCCTTCACTTTAATCAGCAATTTGCAAACAAGATACAGGAACTCAGCTCGAGGCTGGAGGAGTTGTAGCAGTTCACCGACAGCCTGCACTGCTACGTTCACAGTTACTGCTAACTTCATACTCACGTACTAACCTAATATTACAGGCTGATGTGGTGCAGCACAACCCTATCATGGTTCACAATCACAGTTTATTGTGCAATATAAGGGGTTCTTTTGATCAAAGGGAATTATAATGGAACCTGTAGTCTTACAAAGAACCCTTGAAAAAACCTTATTTGCCGAAGTAGATGGTTCTGGATAGGATCTCAGCCCTTCAGGAAGAACCTTTCTGGAGCCCTTATTTCTAAGGACATGTATGCTTTTTGGTCTTTCTTCAGCATTAAACATACTGTAGCTCCGAAGTCACTGGGCAGTTTTGTCACCCATTGTTGCTTGTATTACCAGCTGCTAAATCAGTGGTGGCTGGTGGAACATGTTCTAGGTAGGGCTGTGCCATATCCTATCAATTTCAGCAAACATCCCACAATGATTTAATGCAAAAACATTAAGGTATCAAACACGCATTACTACTTTGCAGTTAAATAATATAACATTTATTCCAACATGAAAAAAAGCAGTAAATTACACTTTGATAAACACGTCAGGACATCTTATTAATGTCACCCTCACAGGGAATTCAGTATAATATAATAATATATATATCATATAATAATATATATATCATAATAATATAATAATACATATATCATATAATAATATTCAGTATAATATAATAATATATATATCAAATAATAATATTCACTATAATATAAAACACACACACACACACACATATATAATGATTTATTTATAACTATATATCCATTTCTCAGACTTCATGTCCCTCACTCCCTAACTGTCCGTGCTGGATCTGTCCCGTTGTTTTAAAAAGCTAAATAAGTTATTAGCATGACGTCATCCAGCTAGCCAAACCTGTCTGGTGTACAGTTAGTACAGAAGCTTCGCATGTACTGCTTCCCTTTCCTGCTAGTCTGCTGTCTGATTGTGAGGTCAGGCTGATCTGGGATCTGCAGAATCTCTGCCAAAGTTCTCCTCTCAAACGGGTCTTCGAGGAGTAGTGCTCGCGCTGGGGCACGCGCTCGCCTGTAGAGATTTCTCCTGACGAGAATGCGCAGCTTTGGGCCAAATCTATTCGAGGACGCTGATTGGCTAAATTGTATGTCACTCATTTATATCTTTAATCAGCAATTGGCTAAACTGCTTCATAGACCCCTAGCTGAGCGTTCTGAGACGTGTCGTGCACACAGGCGGAGAGGACGAGCAGGAAAAGCATATATTTTGCGCAGATATCATATTTTACACATATTACTGGGTACATTCCATAGTTCAAAAACACAAATATTGACAATTTGTATAATTTATTATTATTATAATTTTATTTTTTGTGTGTGGCTCAAGGTGGGGCCAGGCCCCATGGCCCTCTATTGGCCAGCCGAACACTGTGCTCAATGATCTCTGATCGGGAAGTGCTCAGAGCAATTTCGTGGCATTAGATGGCAGAGGCACACACACAGACCTCTCTGAAATCTCATTAATGTAACATTTTACCAAAAGGCTGCACAGTGGCGCCTCCATTAAACCTTCTGACAGCAGCAGCAGGCTTTAGCAAAATACGATACAGAATGTTCCGTGCCTCTCTGAACAGCACACTGGTGAGCTGTTCCACACAGATTCTTAGTGTACACAGGGAAATTATCTGGAGTATAGCAGGCGTTCTCAGGATCCATCCTGAGCTCCTTAAAAATCTCAGGATATTTCTTTCTTTCATTAAATCTCAAAACACCATGTCCGCTGCATAATTAAACATTATCTTATCTGTAAACTGTATTATTATCGGGAAATGTGTTTATGCAAATGTGTCTACAGATTAAACAGACCGTTGCTTTTCTCTCAATACTTTCTCAGTTGTGACATTGTGCATATGTAGATAGATATGACTTAGTGAGTCAATGGGCATCAAAGAAAACTGAAAAATATATTATCGTGCTACAAGTTACTAGGGCTGTGTATTGGCAAGAATCTGACGATATGATACGCATCATGATAAAGGTTGTGATTCAATATATTGCGATATATGTACTGTAAGCAAGGATAATAAAAATTAAATGTTTACTTTTTTATGCAGTCACAACAGTTGGATCTCTCTGCATTTACTACAGTCAGTGTAACATCCAACATCCCAACACAACATTAACCACTGTCTGATACCAATCTTTGCATGTCAAATATTAGTTAAATCAATACTGTATCACAAAACATTATGTGACAAATACATTAACGGAGATCTATGTATTTGGTAACATATTTGTGGTTCTATATTTATGTAGACCTCTTAAAATATCCAAGACTACCAACAGTGTCAATGCAAAGGTATGAATTAATGCTTTATAATAATGAATAGTTAGAAACACTTAATAACACACACTGCATCTGTATTTAGTTGCATGATACCAGGATACTGTTTGTAATATTTAGGCGATGAAATAGCAAATCACACATCAGAGGTCTGGAGTGGTTGCCCTCCTTTTGTCCTTCATACACTGCATTTATTAAACACCTGCAGAGCTACCACCACACACACACACACACACACACATACACGTCCAAGTTTCTTTGAAAGTCACTTCCCTGTTGCAGATGCATATTCAGCATTGTCCTCAGCTGTCTGTACATGATCATTTTGTAGAACACACTGTCTTTCTTTTGTTCTTTATAGGAAGTCTTTCCCCTCCCAGCATGCAACTCTAGCTGCCTTTGCTGCTGTCTACATCTCAGTAAGTGGTTTCTTATACACTCTCTTATGTAGACTGAGACTTGTAGCTGACGATGCCACCTAAACTCTAGCCACAGAAACATAGAACATATATCTCTTGTGGGTCATTTACAAATGGCTTGACATTTAAATAGATCTAATTTAATCACAGGTGGGAATTGAACACAGTCTCACTAATCGGAGTTGACAATCACAGGTTTGGGATTATCTGTTTTTATATAAACATTTAAAAGATCATGATTGGCTCATGTGAAATATTTGTGTTTCAGATGTACTTCAACGCAGTGCTGACGGACTCTGCCAAGCTGCTGAAGCCTCTCCTGGTGTTCTCCTTCGTCATGCTGGCCATCCTGGCCGGGCTGACGAGGATCATCCAGTTCAGAAACCATCCTGTCGACGTCTACTGTGGATGGTTACTGGGATCTGCCATTGCTGTTTATCTGGTAACACTTTGAACCATCACAACCTTCTTGAGATATAAAGAAAGGTTTCCTGTGTAGCTTAAAGTGTGTGTAGTATTTGTGGGCATCTAGCAGTGAGGGTGCAGACTGCAACCAACTGGAAGTTCTCCCGTGCACCAATTGTGTAGGAGAACTACGTTGGCCGCCGGAAAAACGTAAACGTGTTTGGTTTGTCCGTTTTTGGCGACTGTAGAAACATGGTTCTGTGAAGAGGACCCGCTCCGATTGTAGATAGAAACGGCATGAAACCAAAACACAACCATGTCTCATTTTTAGGGGATTATACACTAAAGAATACATACTTACTGTGATTATATTCTATTTCTGCCAATAGATCCACGTAAATGCTACACAATGTATTTTAAACCTTATTTATCTATTTGTAGCCTAAATGATTTATTGTTTCAATATTGTTTAATAGTTTTAAACCTAATTATTTTATACTTAAGTGATAACCAACTTAAAGCCGATCAGTGCTCACCTGCCAATATTCTCTCCGAATGAACGAGCCACCAAAGCTGTTGTAGCTCCTGCAGTTGTCCTTTAAACAAAACGATTAGGCTCTTTATTAGTACCAACATCTTGAAATATGCCAATGGTCACACTCAAAGCAGATCAAGTAGTGATGCGCGGGTCAGGCTTTTCTAATATCTGTACCCACCCGACCTGTTATGCACCGCCCAACCTGCAAAAATATATGTTAATCAACGAATCCCGACCCGCAAACCTCCAACTCAATGCATTATTGCATGTTCCATTATTATGCATACAATCCCTACTTGTATGTACTGTATATGACGATTGTTTTAAGTTTAAGTCTTAATATGATAACTGCTGTATGAGAGATAGTGGACCAGAGAGAGCTTGATGTCGTTGAAAGCCATGCAAGAAGTATGTTGTGCGACTGAATGCACCCTTTTAAGCAGAGCTGCTTCTACCCTTGTACATCATAGCCTGCAAAACAGCTCTGCCACAAGAGCAAGATGTTTGACACTGAAACGTCGTCCAACCCTCTGTGTAGGAGTGTGGACTGAACGGCCTTAATGACTAAGTGAAAGTTTTTTTAGGGCTGGCTTTACAATCCTCTTGGGCCTGGTTGGCTGAGGATTCCAGATGGGAAAAGACAGCTGGAGGCAAACTTACAGTAAAATCGTTCAACATCTCCAACATGAGGGAGGCCGCAATTGTAAGCCATACGCAATGGCAAAAACACAATGGTGCTGTCACAGCATCATTCGCATCCAGAGTCACAAAGTCACATATAGTTTGAAAATCTACAGAGAAGTAGTATGGAGTTTTAAAAGGGAAATATGTTTGAGGTGTAAAAATATACTATTCTAATGGATGCCTGTCATCCAAGAAGAGTATATTGCATCCATGATGTATTTTTTGCTCATTTTGTGCTAGTTTGTATTTGAAAGAGATAGCAAGTTCATACAGCAGGCATTTTATGCAGATTTCATGTACTGGCATTGGTTCATTGGTTCACTGCATTATTCAGTACAGTTTTATGGGCTGAAGGTAGACAATGATGTTCAACTCTTGTGGAGAAACTGGTGGATATTTGCACAGTATATTTGATACCTCCCACACGGCTTCACCCTCCAGCCCACACACACTCGGATAAACATGTCCAGCATTCACTCTAACAGACATGAGCGGTACTGAAGCAGTTTCACTTGTGAGCAGACACACACACACAGACACACACACACACACACACACTACCCTGTTCAGCTGCCTACATCTTTGTTTTTCTGCCTTTTCCTGCAGGAAGAAACGTTGCCTCCCGATATGTGAGGTTGTGCTTTTGAACATCACCTCATCAGTTATTTAACACAATTTAAACTAAATATATTTCACTAGCGGAGGGCCTTTATTTTCTGCAAAAATATAATTATTAACCTGGAAAAAGATCTTTGTAATTAACTTTAATTGCAAGATGTTTATCCTCCCTTTATATGGCTCTACACCATGTAGAGATGATGATTACGCACATTTGTTCTCAAGGCAATCATTTTGCACAGTCCAGGCTTCAGGGTTCTTTGTTTGGCATTGCATCATCTTTCATCAGAGTAGAAATTAAAAGACAAGTAGATCAATTGAAGCTGATTGGCAGCCTCACTTGTTTCTGTGCTGCAGGGCATCAGTACTGCACTTGGTTTTTATTCCAGTTACACAGGATGTTTTGAACTACATGTAAATCTACCCACGTCAGATGCTTTTTGTGTTTTGTTGGTTTTGTCCCTGCTTTGACTGGCGAGGTAGGGGTGGTGTGGTGTGTGGTGCATGGGACGAGGGTAACTGAGTATTCAGATTCTTTACTTCAATAAAAGTACCACAATTGATGTCACATATTGTATCGCAATATGCTGCCTTCCAAATAACTATCAAGTTATGTGTACACTAGCCAAATAAATGTCAAGTCAGCTACGGTTGTTGTTTATGTTTGCCGTCAAGTACCTGGAACACTTTGAGGTCTGAAGATGGAAATTAGAACTGGAAAAATGGCAACTTCCGAGTTGTCTGGAACGCAGCATTAATAGATAAAGAAATTGTGTCACCAAGTGCGTTTTTTAAGCTGTAAAGTAAATGATATGACTGTACTGTCATGAAACACATAAATGCTAGTGTTAATGTTGATGTTTCTCACCAGGTTTATCAAAATAGTTATGTCATGGTTGAAAATGGCTCAAAATGCCATGTCCTATTTTAAATCAGCCCTAATCTTGCAAGACAAATTCTGAAACAGAGTGGACCTTTTAAGACTAATCTACATTTTGAAATAACAGAATGTTAACGCCCTCTAATCTCTTTAATGTGTAGCATTAAGGTGCGTTCACACCAATCACAATCACAGCACAGCCCGTTCACTCCTTTCTGTGAACTAGAAATTAAGCTATGAGCACATCACACAATCTGGTAAATCTGATTTAGACTGATTATCTGGCGATAGCAATGGGCTTTCCTACACTGTGACAAGAGTGTGTCGATGAAGCATTAAGCTGTTTGATTTGAATCATTTAGCAGCTGGCTAGTTAGCTGGCTAACGTAAGCTTGCTAATTTCACCATGTTTTCATGCTAAACTTACACTGGTTATAGAAAATGAGCAGATTGGCAGAGCGGCAGCGCATTTTTCAAAATGATGCAGTGGATGCACTTTGTCAATAGGTGATATAAGTGATATCAGTGGTCTGCAGAGTTTTGACTCTGCCTTCTAGTATCAAGTACCAAAAAGCACCAGGTACCAGGTACTATCAATAACTTCTCCCAATGGAACCCAAAACACAGTGAGTCCAGTTTAGTAGAGCTGTGCTGTACCATGCAGTGGAAATGCGTTAATAGGGTCCTGCGCTCTAGCTCTAGGATGTGGGCACAACAGTCTCCAATCTCCCGTGGCTGGGTTTAGCTTGTCTTCTTTCATCCATTTCACTTTCCTGTGATTGGACATCAGCCATTATCAGGCTGGGTAGTGGACATTCCTAGGCAGCTGCAGGGACAGCTTAGCTTTTATCCAGGCACTCGTACCTCTTTTCTCGGAGCGGTCACTCGGCACACATAGGAGAAGTTTGCCTTCAGGGCTTTCTGCCAAAAAGGGTTTAATTTAATCCAAACTATCTTTTCCTAAACCTGTGTTGCCTGTACCTACGGAGAAGAAAGCCCTGAGGGCAAATTTCTCCCATGTCCTCACTTCAGCCTCGGTGGCGTTTGGTCTGGCTGGTCTGATTAGGTGGTCGGAAGATGCCGTGGGTAGTGATCGTCTCAAAGTCTACTGCACATAATCCAATCCCTGCACTTCCTTCTCTGACATTGATGATTGTAATACTGTCATAGGCCATACTGGCTCCAGTAACAAAGGCGAAAAGACAACAAATCCAAACAAAATTGTTGCAAAATGCATGGAAGGTGTCTGCTGCAACTGCACGTGCTGCCGTCACCATGGTAACATCTTGCATCACCCGCCATTTCAATCAGGAGACACAAGGTAGCTAAAGATAGGATCATTGTTTTCTTGTTAACAGATGATATGTGATGATAAGTCTTGAGAGAGTCTTTGGTGCTTGGACTCTACAGGGAGATTTGTAATGGAGGGGCGTCTGCCCTGAGCAGCAGCAAGATAAACCCCCCCATGGAGTCCAGGCACCGCTGGTGGTGGTGGTGGCTGATGAGGCTGATAGAATGATCTAGTTGATGAAGATGAAGATGAAGATGATGAATCTGCAAAGACTGGGCGGAGATTGGGAGGTGGAGGGGTGTGTAACAACAGCATGAACGTACTGAAAGTAAAGAGACAATCATTTAAAAAAAGAGACAGCAGCAAGATGATAGGATAACCATGTCATTGTTTTTCGTTGTGCTATTGGACTCGCCCCTTCAAAGGAGTCCTGTGCGGTGGGTTTTGCTTGCATGTTTGACATTTTCTAACTACGTGGACGCTGATAGGCGGAAACCATGCTGGAACCATGCTGTAGTAGTGAATCTTTGATACACTGCCCACTAGAGTTTGGGAGAACACCAGTTTGCCTCGAGGAGAAACCCACAACAGAGTATAAAACGTCCAAAAGTTTCCGCATCACAACTCCGTGTCCTCAAGTCTGTACAACTTTGCGAGCAGAAAGCATAACCGGGGCTTCACCTTCCCCCTCCTGGTCTATCAGGGCAAGTGAGGGAGTTGTATGTGGAGGCTACTAGTCCTCTGCAGCTCACTTGCTCCATATCTCTCATGATATTACTACTGGTCTGTATTGCATTGCCATACTTGCTAAATCATTGCTTTGGAGCGATCCAGTGATTTAAGGGATTTTATTTAAATCCCTAAAGAAACTAAAGTCTAAATTACATACATCACATCACTGAAGATTAGGACACTAACTTCCTTTTCACTGTAGCTTTAGTTAAGGCTTAGGGACAGAGGAGCTGACATGGCTGCCACCTGAAACCACCTGGATTTGACAAACTCTTTTTTTATGCTTATGTCTTTGCTGCATATTCCTCTGTGTCTCACTATATGTGTCTGTTTGTATGCAGGGTGTCTATGCGGTGGGGAATTTTCAGCCCAGCGAGGATCGGTCCAGAAGTCGAGCACCTACCCCCACCCTGAGAGAGCCCCACCTCTCCTCCCTACCCAATGTCAGTCAATCTGCGATTAGCAACAGCCACCAAGGTAAAACTATGCCTGCAATGTGTCTCTTAGAATTACAGATTACATCCCCTGTGATGGCAACTACAACCATAAATTTCCATAAAAAGAAAAGTCCCAGAAGTTTGGGCATGTTAATGACAGTTACACTTTGTAGATGTGGACATCTCTATGGAGTTTTATCTTGGCTCATTTACTTCACTTCAAGTGTTGATGAACAAATTTTGAATTATTTTAATTAGCCATACGTCTTTTCAGTGCAGCAGGCATACTCTATATCTTTGTTTTCATTGGAAATTATATGTTTATTCTTGGTCAAATCTTATTTTAAATGTATATTTTTATCCGTTGATGACTTAAGGATGGTATTGCATTTCCATACATTTTGGGGACTTGCTTGAGATAGTTGTCAATGGAGCCCCTATCCCTTCAGTGATGGAGAAGCCGTGAAGGACCAGGGGAAGGTATTTACATGCTCCGTTGAGGATAAAGCCTCGATCCAGGAATCCTGATGTTGGGCATGGTAGACCCTACCATCAGTGTATGAATGGGTGAATGATGACAAGTAGTGTGAAAGAGCTTTGAGTGGTCGGAAAGACTAAAAAAGCTCTATAAAGGTACAGTCCATTTACCATTCATTCCATGCATCCTCTGGCCTGTGATGATCTTTGAAGTCCCATTAACTTCAAGAGGAACATTAGTCACCACCTCCACAGATGGCTTGGCCTAGCCTGAAGTCTCAGCAAAGGTGCCTTCTACTGCCAAAAGACCAAGCACATACTTTCAGCAGCATGAGCAAAGAGTTCATGGTGGCCAGAGGAGAAGTGCTCCAGTAGAGTGACTCTAACAACCCCAGAGTCTCACAATGTCATGGGAGTTCAAGATCAGGACCCAATAGCAAGACCACAGGAGACAGAATCTGGTACAACAGATTTTATTTTACCACAATTAAAGGACAGGAATGGCTGTGTGGAGCCCCTGGTCCGACACAGGGTGCAGGCCGGATCGACGGTGTGGTACCCGTGGTCCAACACTGGAGAGCAGGCAGATCGACGGTGTGATTCCCGTGGATCGACACCAGAGGACAGGCAGATCGACGGTGTGATTCCCGTGGATCGACACCGGAGGACAGGCAGATCGACAGTGTGAAGTCCGTTGGAACACAACGGAGGGCACGGGGGATTCCCGGACCGGCGGACACCGGAGGCAGGCGCTCGAGGCAGAAGATGATACGGGGTTGAAGCGGGTGAAAGATGGTACGCACTGACAACCCCAGACTGCAGGACCAGGGTCGATATAGTGCCAGGGGAATGGTTAGTGGGATCTGAGTCTGGTGTGTCAGCCTGCGGGAGGTAATCGGCTGGAGTGTCCGCAGCTGTGCACTAATAAGGGGTGTGGCCATGGGAGGTGTCTGGAGGCAGAGGAAAAACACAGAGCACATGGCACACAATAACAAACAGGGGATTGACAGAACACATGAGGAGAGGAGATCAGGGGAAACAGAGGTAACACACAACGGGTCAGACAGGGATCCTGGATCCTGACACACAAGCAAGCATTGAGGTGAGAAAGCGGTGGAAGTTTAAGGGCTGGAAAGCAGTGGACCAGTCAAATTCCAGACTGCAGAACGGGGTGCTCATGCTGTGGCAAGAGTAAGATCTGGCCAAGGCAGTGGTATGGTGGGGCGCTATGACCAGGCCCAAGGCAAAGAGAGGCGAAAAATTGTACAGGAGGAGGTGCAGGAAGGAGTCAAAAAGAGGTACAAGCCAGCAGGATTGTTGGCTTGAGTTAGCAAGAAGCATGGACTCAGTGGAAAGTAGCAATGCTGCGTAAGGTCACCCTCAGACCTGACATTGTCATGTTTTCAGTGTAAAGTGATCATGCCTAAGCTCACTATTCCCTGAGAAGACCAGACAAAGAAGCCAAGTAGGAAGACATGGTGTAGGAGTGTAGCTGCCAGGGGTGAGGCGCTATACAATGGAAGAGGGATGCAGGGGATTTGCAGTCTCCTGGGAATAACAGGGTATTTAAACAAAAGCCATCAGGAATGCCACCAAGGCTGTAGAAAAATCCTCTAGATCTGTCATCAACAAAGCGAGCTGCAGAGTGTAAGTTCTACTTGGACAGAAGCCAGGGCTTCATCAACCCTGGTGGGGTAGCCTGGATGAAGGTGTCTGAGGACCCGAAACACAAGATTGGTTAAATTACAGATCATGTGTCCCAGTGCATCCGAAGATTCTACGTAAAGAATGGTCCAAATTGAAGTTGGAGAAGCTGAGATTCCCTTAAGTCCCTCTTAAAGGTTAAGCTCAAAAACTGGTGGATCCTACACTTCCTACAAAGCAAATCAAATATTAATCAAATAAAAAAAATTCTGTGTATACCAAGGAATTCAGAATTCACTACAGAGGTTACACCTCCTCCGGAAGCTTTATGACTTCTGGGTGACCCAGAATATTCTTGAAATGGTCTACAAGAATCTGGTGGAAAGCATCTCGACTCACTTGGTAAGGATACTCGAATATCCATTGTAAAGGGAAACTGTCAAGAGTGGTTAACACTGCCAGTAAAATTATAGGGAAACCACAGATGCAACTAAGCGGCAGTTATGTACCGAATACCAAACAAGTGATCCGTCCCATCCATTGTACCCAACATTTGAATTACTTTCCTAAGTAAGTGGCCTTAGACTGCCACGAGCAACCAAAAGTGTCTTATTTTTATTTTTGTCTTTTCAAAGATGACAAATCATCCTCTTTTAACTTTACATTAGCAGTTTGACCTCTCCCTGTTATCCATTAACAGGTCACCACACCCTGGCTCCCAGCCAACCAGAGCCCATCATCACAAGGACCTCCTCCCACACATTGTCCCCCAACCAACCAGAGCCCATCCTGACACGGAGCGCCTCCTACCGAGAGCCGTCTCTGTCCAATCTGAAGCGAGCGAGTGCTGAGGTGGAGGTGATAACCCCATCTAGTCCTCTGGGCAACCATGACAACATGATGACCTTTAGCAGCAGCACACTGCCAAGGTAAATGTTTTTGGTGGAGTCTTTATCCACAGGTTTGAGAACGTAAATGTCTTGTACTTCAGGGTATAGGTGGGTGAAAAGCTAAGTGATTATGATGACTCCTTTTAGCCAACCTCCTCATTCAGCAGCAAAATCCCACACAGTGACTAAGTCAACCTACATTGGCTATTGCACAGCTACAAATTGTGACTGAACAGCTTGTTTGGTCGCAGCTGTCGATCCTCTGTTAGATCATGAGGGAAATATCATAATGAATGTCTTAATTAAGCTATACAACCAGAACATTTATCAGAGGAGCTAATTTATTGTTTCTACATATGTTGTAAATCATTATATTGATCATTTGTTATTTAACACAACTGACTCAGTCTGACCATGTGGGCAACACACTGTGATAGTCGTGACCTTATAGGCATTATGTTTTCAGTTCGTCTGTCCGTCCCATCTCATGAACGCGATATCTCAGAAACGCCTGGAAGGAATTTCATTGCATCTGGCACAAACATCCACTTGGACTCCAATATTTTGGGCCATAACTCAATAATTCATATTCTAATTATGACAATTTGACACAAATGTCTAATAGGATAAAATGATAACGTGATGACATTGGATGCAAACTGTAACTTGACTGGTTGGTGGAGGCATATTCTCTTTTCTTCTTCTATAAATGTTATTTGGAATATAAAAACAATTTGCATGTGTTATATTTCCCCAGCTTTTTCAGCTCTTCTATTATTATAAGTAATATGTGTGTTCCCCTGTCATCTTTGTCTGTGGTAGAAACATTGAGGGAACAGGAAAAGGGATTATAGATGTGATAGAATTGTTCATCTGAGAAAGAAGCATAAAGGTCTCTGTGGGCGTAATTGCGAAGACAACTAATGAAATACTTGCAAAAGCACCTCACTAAAGCAGCACTGATGGAAACACGCAGGGCTCTGTGGAGCATGGCAGGATTTCTGGCATCCTGGAGCACACACAGATTAAAGTACATCAAATTCAAAAAGAGAGGGACATGTGCCGTGTTACACAACTTGAGAGTTGTTGACATGGCTTTATCCTCAACTCCTGCCAGTAGTTGTTCATGGTGATTGGCGGGTGGATGCCATACATCATGTAGGCAAACTGTCCCTGTAGATCTGTTTGGCTCCTCATCTATTATTTAATTTATTTGAAAGAGAGAAAGAATCAGTGGAAATGGCTTTTGTTACACTTTAAAAAGAGGGCAGGAGGGGATATGATTTGTCATGACTGGCATTCTGCCACACTCCAGAATCCCACTTTGTTTCCAACTGTGTTATCCTTGCCACTGACCCCAACATTTCCAAAAGTCAGTCCCAATTCATCCACTCACAGCATGAATGCTATCTACTAGCTCTGCACAGACAGTAACAAATTCAGATATGCAACTGGACTTGACAACAGCATGTTTGTTGAAAAGATTGTGGCCAGAAATTACTTCATTTTTACTCTGACATGAATTACTTAAACAGAAATTACCTATATTTTTACCTATAAGATTGACGTATCAAAGAAAAAAGAGACGAAGAGCTATCCGATGTCAGCCACACTATATAAGACTATGTGAGAACAGAATAAGTCAGTCATTTCCCCCAGAATAACTTTGCTTGAAGAATAAACTCTATTGCATAGAACTCTGTCTGATTCCAGTGCACTCTTCAAAGATCATCAGGACACCAATAGGTATGAAGTGTAGAACAAGAAGAGAGTTGGGGATCAGTAGTTTAGACTTCATCAACTGGCCCGGTCTGAACTTCTTTTCCACGACAATAGGTCAAGGTCACTGTGACCTCAAATCCATCTCATTTTTGTGAATGCTATATCTCTGAAACATCTTGATGTGATTCCATTACATCTGGCACATATATTTACTCAAGAGAACTGATTAGAATTAGTTGGTCAAATGTCAAAATGATGAAGTAATGACATTTTGGATAGACATTGATATAAGCTGCAACTTGACTGGTTGGCGGAGGCATATAAACAGAAGGTGCTAATTCTAGTTTAGAGGTATATTTAAGGATAAAAGTAACAAAATGTTTACTGAGATTTATTTGAAAGCACAAATCAACAATTGGTGCATTATTTCCGCAATCTTCTTTCTTGTTGTTCACAAATTTTCTTTGCCCCTTCTTCCAGGTCCCACGGAGGCTCCTCATTGGAGGAGGGTCGCATTCCACGCCGTCATGCCTCCATCCACACATCAATGGACTCAACCCGATCCAAACAGCTGCTCAGCCAATGGAAGAATAAAAATGACAACAGGAAGCTATCCTTGCAGGTGATGGATGGAATAAGACCAGCCTCCTCCTCATCTCCTCAGAGGAACATGGAACTGCGCTGCTCTTCTGAACCTTCTGCCATGGGCCTGGAGGAGCACCGAGGTGTGATACACCTGCCTTCCCTTATCGCTTTTCAGGAAACAGAGCTCCGTGCTGGGGCCCACATCCCAGCTCAGTACATGAAACTAGCAGCAAGCTCTGTTCCTATGGCCAATCATAATCACCTGAGCCATAATGGCAGCACTGGATTGACTGGTGGGGCCAGAGTGTCTATCCAATCCCGACCTGGATCCTCCCAGCTGGTTCACATTCCTGAGGAGGAAAATCTCAATAGCAAGGATCAGGAAAGTGAATCCGAGGACAGTATTATGGATGGGGGTGGGTCAGTGAGAGAAAAGTGGCTCAGAGTGGCTGAGAAGACCACCATCCCCTGCAGGCCGCTAAGTGCTGGAGGACAGCCTCGTCTTATGCAGGTTAATTATTCTTTTTCTGCACCAACTGTACCTTTCCTAATCTATCTGTTGTGAATCTACAGCAAGTCAAGTGCTTTCAGTGTGTCCAGTCTTTGATGGCATTGACACAGTCCAGGAGCCTAGTTAATGTGAAGGCCTCGCTGGGCTTGAATGACAGATGGAGTTGGATATCATCTGCATATAAATGATAGGCAACACTGTAACTTTTTATAATCGGTCCCAAAGGTAACAAGTAAAGGGAAAATAACAGAGGCCCCATAACCGAGCTCTGCGGTACACCACAAGACAATGGAGAGGTGACAGACACAAAATCACCCACAGATACATTAAAAGTTCTGTCAGTGAGGTAAGATGTAAACCAGTCTAACGCTATGCCAGATATGCCAATCACGTAGCCTCTTAATCAGGATGTTATGGTCTACAGTGTCTAATGCAGAACTGAGGTCCAGAAGTACTAACACAGAGCAGTCACCTGCATCAGAAGACATGAGAATGTCATTTGAAACCCTCAGGAGAGCAGCTTCAGTAGAGTGTTGCTTACGAAACCCAGACTGGAATTTGTCGTACATGTTGTGCCTCTCCAGTGCAGCAGTAAGTTGGTTTGCCACCACTTTCTCTAAGATTTTGGACAGGAAAGGCATTTTTGATATGGGCCTGTAGTTCATAGGCAATGCCGGATCTAAGTTGGGTTTCTTTAATATGGGCTGGATAGTGGCATGCTTAAAGTAGGACGGGACAAATCCTGTAGACAATGAGGAATTGACAATATATGTTACTGCAGGGCCAATAATTAGCAGAACTTCCTTAAATAGAGAGGATGGTATTATATCCAGAGGGCAAGATGATGGCTTTGTTTTGTTGCTTAAGTCCATAAGGTCTTGAAGGCTGATAGGCTGGAAAGAGTCCAGAACAGTAGGAGATTGAGAGGAGCTATATGTAGATGAACAGATTCCAGGCTGAATACCAGACCTAATAGCTATTACCTTATCAATAAAATAGGCAAGGAACTTGTTACAGTCATCAATAGAACAGCATGGTCATGTAGAGACAGACGGTGAAACAATTCTCTTAATTGTGTCAAACCATATCTTGGGATTTCTCTTTGAGGAAGAGATTAAGTTGTCAGCAAAGCAGTGGTAGGAGAAGCCACACAAGGGATTGACAGCACCAAGAGATAACAGGAAGTAAACATAGACCCAATCTGTTGTCTAGCAATGCAATTCCATTGAAACAGTTTTTGGAACACTAAAGCGTGTAAACATGTCTAGTAGAAACCTAAGAATAAAGTATAAACCTGGAAATGAGCATACGTCTCCTTTAAAACTTGCCCAATTGAAACAAATTCCGAAAGACCACTCTCCATTTTTCTCCCACAGAGGGGTTAGATGGCCAAGGCCACTTGTTTTCTTTGCAGTTTGCAACCTCTACTTCTTCTGCTCTGTTTCCCGCCAACTTCTGACAAAATTACGTTGCCGATTTAAATCACTTCGGTTGATGAAAATTGCTTAATTCTTTATTTTTCTTTTTTGCGACATGTCAAATGTTTGCTGGAAATTTGCTTGACATTTGAATGGAAACACGGCTAATGTGCTGCAAAAGCTTCTTTAATATAATTACAATGCAGGCTGTATGTTTTGTGGACAGCTGCAGTTATTGCCTTCATGGTAAAACGTTCCTAGTTGTAGCAGTGCAATTCCACCTACAGAAGAGAAGGTTAGTAGCTAATGAGTATGTATCACAGCAGCCAGGCAAGAAGCTCACATACACTGTTCTCCTATTTCAGGTGATAGCCTTATCTAAACAGCAGGGTCTGCTTTACTCTCCTCGGTCTGAGGATGGTGGCAGCACAGTCAGCTGCACCGGATCCATTCGGTACCGAGCCCTGACAGACCAGGACCCATCACCACCGGCCTCCACCACCGGAGCAATGGGAGGAGGAGGTCTGTACTGCTAATACAGTAATGTGTATATAATATATATATATATTTGACGCCAGCTTTTGGTACTTAAGAGTTTTCATACTGTGTTATGGACACATTCTGCTCCATGTCTAATAGGATTGAGGTCAGATACTTAGCCTTTCTACAACTGTGCCATTGCTTGCTTTTCTACATTTAAGGCAGATTAAATTAGATATAGATAACAGAAATAATTTGAGATTAAAATGCCTCTGGAGGGATAATTTTTTTCACAAATCTCACAAGTCCACATAAGATAAAAAAAAAACAACAACACTGAACGTGTCTACAAGTGTATATTGATCCCTGATATATCTTCTTCATAGAGCTCCATTGATGTCCATAAACTATTAAAAGCACATCAATGAGCCACACTGTTGCACTGTGATATGTTCCTTCATTACCATGAATACACACACTTTTATTTAGTCTTAACACTACACACACAGTCCTGCTGCCCCAAATCCCAGCACCAAATGTGGATTAATCCCCTGCTGAAAGGAGTCCACAAGAAATGCACTATTTCCTTTGGTTTGAGTAACACTAGCAACTACAGTGTCCAGCTGTTTAAGAAAAATACTTTAAAACAATGTAACTATATGTTTGTTTGGGAAGGTCAGGAAATCAGAAAGTATTTGAGAGACACACTGGGATTGTTGATTTTTTTTTTTTCATGGGATTTCTTTGCAGTAAGAAAAATTAATAATTTTGCCTGCCTCAACCTTGAAGTGAATAGTTAAGCATTTAGGGAAACACATTTGTTACTTATTGATGAATATCAATTTCACCTCTGTGCATGGTTATAGATCTAGGAATTATTTACTTTGGCTTGTTGAGAAAGGATCTAGCTTACTTCTGTACTTTATTCCCAGCATAGGACTGATTAAGGTGTCGAGAGTAAGAACACTGGGACCTCATCAGACACTGGACTCTTTTGCTTTGTGGCAGTCACAGCAGTGTGAGCGCTGTGCCTTTAGCTATATGGATTTGAACATTGAAGATGCTGATTATTATTATTAATAGTAGAATGTAATTATTGATCATCTGTCTTGTTCTGTTAGGAGGTTTGGAAAGAAGTGGCAGTATAGTCCGTGTTGATGCCCACCCAGAATCCAGATCAAACAAACCTGTGGTGAAACCTCCGAGCACCGACGGAAGTGGCTCCTGGCGATGGAAACCACCAGATCAACGCGCTTCGCTCCAACAGTCAGCTTTCGCCCTCAACGACTTGAACAGACACACAGACAGCTGTGATTCGCTGAGGGATGGAGAGTCAGTGGATGGGCGGAGGAGCGTGACAGGAACTGAAAGTGAGAGCGAAGGGGGAGGAGAAGGAGGAGGAATAGGAATGGGTGGTGGGGGAGGTGTATACACAAACCACCCACATGTTGTACACCCTTTACATCCTTTACATCCCAATAACCCCAACAACTTCCAGCAACCCAATTTTAACCCCAACAATCCCAACTTTAATAACGCCCACTTTAACTTCAACCCCAACTCTGTCAACTTCAACCCCGACTCTGCCAACTTCAACCCCAACTCAGCCAACTTCAACCCCAACTCTGCCAACTTCAACCCCAACTCTGCCAACTTCAACCCCGACTCTGCCAACTCTGCCAACTTCAACCCCAACTCTGCCAACTTCAACCCCAACTCTGCCAACTTTAACCCAAACTCTGCCAACTTCAACCCCAACTCTGCCAACTTTAACCCAAACTCTGCCAACTTCAACCCCATCTCTGCCAACTTCAACCCCAACTCCGCCAACTTTGACCCAAACTCTGCCAACTTCAACCCGATCTCTGCCAACTTCAACCCCAACACGACCAACTCCAACATGCCGTTTACCCCCACTGCCAACTTTGCTCCTCCCTTCCACCCCCACCCTCAGGCCATCACCACCATCAGGGTCACCCCGGTGGAGGTAACGGCAGCCAGCAGCGACGGTGGCTCTGACTGCCAGTCGGTTGCTTCGTCCAGCTGTGAGTCCACCCTGCGGAGGAAGAGTGGCTCCCAGTACGGCCACGTCCCCGATCGAGGGCCCACCCCCGACCTCCACAATAACCACCGCCTCTGTGACGACAGTAACCGCCTCGACAATGAAAGCAGCAACCGGTTCCATGAAAACCTTCGAAGTTTTCAAGAGAACCCCATCCACCCTAATCACCCCAATCACCCCAACAGGCAGTTGCAGGGGATGTTTGGCCGTCCCAGCCCAACCCCTCCCCCTACCTTACCACGCCCCATCCTGAGTCACACTCCGCCTCCTACTCTGGGGTTGGCCTATAAAGAATGACACTCCCAGTGTTAAATTGATTAATCTTTACCTGTGATAAAAAATGTGTCCATGGCCAGTACAGCATTTCAATGGTGATGCTGCATGGGCCATTCAGAACTTTAGATTGGGCCAAAAATGAAAGGAAATTTGGATACTCTGTCCACCATCATGGGTAAGCCAACAGGGGATGGCCAAAAGCATGTTAGTGCCTACCGCAACATCTCACCTGGCCAATTAGGGTACAATATATAGCACCCCAGCTGTTTAGTACCCAATCGAATAAATATTATGTTTTACAAGGAGATGTACTGTAAGCTTATTAAAACTTATTAGCAAGAGGTTCATGATCCTCCTTGGGTCAAAACCCATTGAGAGCACTACAAATTAACTCTGCCCAAGATCTCCCACTGGTCAATAAGAAAGGACTATAGTCGCGGCCCAACATAAGAGGAGGAAGCTTGATTCAACATTCTTTCTTGTGTTTATTTTTTTATTTGGATGACTTTGTAAATGTAATACATTGAGTGCACTTGGGCATAGGCATAGGCACAAGGATAATGGGCTAAATAAACTGCTGATCCCTTGACTTACTCAGAGGCTCCAGCCCCCTCGGTCCGTCCAATATCTCCCTCCCAGTGAGGTTGGAATCAGCCTAATGACTCTCACCCTCTTTCCTCTGACTGCTAGGTCAGTTGTCATTGGGGTAACATTCTTATCACAATATTTATACATACGGTATATTCTTAGCTCTTATCTTTTATTAAAACACAGATACCAATATTGATACATAAAGTTTACAATGTAACCACATGCCATTAGATGGAAATTTGCATTCAAAGCCCATAACTGTGCTGTGTTTGTACATATGAATGTGGGTGGCCACAATGGAAATTAAACCCACAGTCTTAATTGTGTCTGGGCTACTTGGGAGTCCCTTTTGGGCAATAGCAGTATCTCTTAGTTCATGGTGGAGTTGTGTTTGTGTTGGATACGAACAATATCACAGGACATACCTTTTGTTAAAATATAGTTAAACAATCGTTCTATTTTCTACATGCTGTGATTTAATTGATGTACAGTATATGAATTATTCTGACTGTGTAGTAGCTGTTCTGTACACTGGCACATTCGGCATGTGAGTCATCTGAACAAACTTGGACCATACACAAGTCCAAACAGATGTTTTCTTTGTTTGGTTCATTTGATCAGCTCATCATGTCTCCCAGTATTACAGTATGGGTGTCAGTACCAATGACATTAATGGTAATTGTTGGGGAAAAAGAAATCTAATATTTTTAGCATAAAGTTGTGATATTTTTTGAAAAAAAGGTTACAATATGACCAGATAAAGTTGTAGTTCTATGCGAAAAAAGTCATATTATCTGATGAGTATAGTCATAATTTGGCAAAATATTACAATAATGAAATGTAATAGAACAAGAACTTACAATACAATACAATATTTAATGAATACAGTCAACATTTTACAACAAATGTTTGTAATTTTGAGAAAACAAAGGCATACTATTGAAGTAATAAAAGTAAAAGTAAAATCAATGAAAAGGCATTACAGTACAAAAACGTCAAAATGTAACATGAATAAAGTGTAATTTTGCAAAAATTAACAATACAATACAAATTTCCAAAAGACTATTTTTAAGGAAAAATTACAAAGTTATTTATTCTAATTTTAAAAACGAAAAAATTATATTACTACAAGAATAATGTCTTTATTTTAGTTTTTAATACTTTAAAATCTGTCATATCTGGAGAAAAACAAAATTGTGGCTCCACAATCTAAATTTGATCAAAATGCCAATATGGCCGACTATAATTTTCAGAATCCCTAGTGGTTCAATATTTAATGGCAAAATATGAGTCAAATTACCATTTTTTTAATCGAATAATGTTGTGCTATAGAGATTTCCTGGCCTGCACATTATATTCTACAGACCTCTTTGTTTGATACAGATCCCTTCAAAATCACACTATAATCATTTTTATATTGTTTTCAATAAAACTGAATCATTCCCTCTAATGTCAAAAATGATATCACAATTGCACGATTAGTCAAACAGAAGACTTGACATGTCTGTCCTAAAATCTATGATAAAATCATGCAGACTTTTGAAAGCTATAACCTTAGAACCTCAATAACCCAATAAGTAGGCTGACAGCTGCTCTCACCTGTTTACTACCATCAAATATTAATAGTAAGTTTTCTTCGAGGAAAATCATAACTTTCTTTCATAATATTGTGAATTCTCTTCTGCCAAAAGTCAAACTTTCTTCAAATGTAGATCTTTTTTGTGAAACCGGGACTTAATTAAGAACTTTTTTTCTTGTACACTTACAACTTTATTTTGAACATATATTCTCACTCATGTATTCTTGTAATCAGTATTTTCCCTGAACAGACACTATATGTCATATCTGTACCACGCTTTTACAACTTTGCTTTTGTATTTTACTTGTGTGTTTGAATTCATGAAGTAGACAATTGTGATATTTCTACACCATTAACATACCAACATTTTAATTTGCTGTTTACTGATGACCAGAAACAACACACTGTCTGACTTTTCATCCAACATAATTCATGATTTTCTTGCCCAGTGTTTACATTCTTTTTTAACTTAGTGCCCAAGTGCCATCAAAAGAGAAGCCATGTGTCTGTGGGCTAGTCACATAGAGTTAGTGCAGGACTGGAATGAATCTCAGCAGAGTTCTGATGGAAATCTGCCTGAAGCAAAGATCCTGAAGTTTGGATCATGTAGAACTTTAGTAAGCACAATTACTGCAGCTTGATGACAGCGTCAACAGATTTATTGCTGTGTTCATATTTATATATTTCTGTAAACTCCCACTTCTGGTCAGATGTCCTTTATTGCATTTGTAGTTGCGAAGCTGTGATTCAGATTTAGGTGCCGATGTTGCTGGAGATGATGGTACTGCTGCTAACGGCGTTGTAAAGAGCTATTCATGTTTTTAATAGAGTATACAACAGCTGAGTGGAGAGGACTTACATTCTAATGTTTCAACATTTATTATAGGGAGTATTTATTTAAACGAGCTGATATATCAAATGTATATGGTTGTATGTGACAGTCACTACTCAACTCCTTTACATGTGTCTTTTCTACCTAACAATGAAGAATGGACACAAGTGCTTTGATTGGTCAACTACTAACACTGACTTTGATTGATGAAAAGGATTCAAGAAGGCTTTTGTGTCCATTCTAGTAATCAATGATGTTATTCAGTTTTTTGGTTTTGTTGCAGTCATTTCTTTGAGAGAGAACAGGCAGTAGCTGTTGTGAACATATAGAGGGGAGGAGCCACAGCACCACATTACCTGTAGACATTGTAATGAACTGTCATTGCTGATTTCACAAGGCAGAGTGATAAGATTTCAAGAAATAGATGTTGCTTAGGTTAAATTAACATAGAAATATAATCTTTGAAAGAGAAGGAGAACATTGCAATTTTTTGAGGGTTTAACAACAGTGGAGCCATTGTGCATTCATATTACAGCCGAAATAGCTTAATACGGAGTTTGTTGGACAGTAACTCTCCTCTTTTAGGAAGTCATGATGAAATGGCCTTTTTGTACAGTCTTGGTGAATATGTACCTGCCAGTCAACATTAGCTAAGTAAGATTGTAAACAGCTATGTATTGAGTTATGGAGACAATATTTTGATATAGATGGAAGAGGATATTTTCTGGCAAATAAAATTGTGGTTGTTTGCCACCATAATAATATATACTTGCCAAAATCATAGTGATTATGCCACTATAGAGCAGCAGTCTTATTCAACTTCTAAGTGTAAGTTGATGTATGTACAGTAGTGGCAGAGGGCAATCGTATAGTGCTGACCAAGAAATACTTGGTCTGAATACTAAATTAAAGTGTACACAAGACCATGAATGTTAGCCAAGAAAGGACCGAGTGCTCAACGATTAATTGACCCTTCCTAAGTCCCTCCCCTTTTTGCTTGGTGCTCCAAGTTGAGCAAGCTTGGATGGCGGCAGAACCTCGGTGGACTTCCCCTCTCCTGCTTTGCCCCTTTCACACAGTTCTGCGCTGCGCTTGCCGCTGGGTTTAGCATACATCGCCACACGCTGCACCCAAAGTTCAACCAAGTGGAACATACTGTATATTGGTTATGTTCATGTAGAAACAATAAGATCATGTTTATGCCTGCAATTTAAATTGCAGTTACAATCAGAGAAATTGCTATTATTTTCCTGTAATTGTTTTAACTGCAGCACATATGTAGAGGAAGCACTAGTTTACCACAGGATACTGAGGTTTATAGGTAAGTTGCCGTGGCCAGGTGGATGTACATTTGCTTTTAGCTCCGAGAACCTGGCTTCACAAATTATTTTTAGCCAAGATTTCATATACAGGACATTTTGAACAGTTTAGATTGTCTGCTCATAACCTCCCCCTTAACCAAAGCTGCTTTACCTGCTCAACCTGTTGCAAATAGATTCTCACGACAAAGGACACAGGATACAGGATACAGTTGTGCTATTATTGTAACACAATCAAGAGGAATGTAATGAATAGAATACTCCCATGAAAGTTCAATATTTTTGCATACAAATCTTTGCATACACATTTTGTGAAGCCTATTCATTTCTATAACATGTTTCCAGCTTACTCATTTCGTCAATTTACTGTGATGCAGTTAAACAGTCGGTGTAAAAAGAAATAATCGCGTACATAAATCTGTTTTCCCTTTGTATAGTCTTGGACGACAGAGAAGTATATTTTGATATGATAGATGTCGTGCAATGTGGTTTGTAATCAAACGCAAGAAATGTTATCCAGTTTGATGTATAAGGCATGTCAGTGGATTATCATCTCAGTTAGATACGCTACCCGTAAATATTTTAAAGTGAATATTGTACATTTGAGTATAGTTTTATGTGCTTCTAGCGAGAACAACAAAGTAATATGTTTTGGTGGAAAAGATGAATTTGAGAGGATGACAGACAAGTGGATTTGGAATACTGATGTGTGTTTGCAAGGGAAACCCTTGGATTATAGATTATTAAGAAAGGCGTACAATTAATAGTCAAAGTTTTGGCTTAATAACCTCAACTGGTTTATGTTCATAACTTATGATATCTTTAAACTCTGAGTTATATTTGTTGTGTGAATTCCTATTTTTAGTATTCTGATGTAGACAGTTTCTGCATTGGTCAATTTAAAATTCTGGTTTTGCTAACAGACATGTTTTCTGTGAGAGCCCAGTGAGAAGGTCATACTCATTCCAGAAGGCCTGCTGCCTAAATACGGTCAGAGTAGGAGGAGGTACATTGTAATCACAGTGTCCAAGAAACTTGTGGACACCTAAATGGAATTGTGCCAAGTTTCAAATATGTGATTACATTGTGATGGTGAGCCCAACAATTAGCATCTTACTGAAAGAATGTCAGTGGGTCGGATCATTAGGGCCACAAAGGTAGAGCCAAGAGCTGAAGTCAGACCAAACTGACCCAATACTTTGGCTTTTAACTGTAATGAGATGTTTGCAAGTTATTCTAGTTGTGGTAGGATTTGCTGTTACAGAAGCAAATATTCTATGAATCAGATGATATTTAGACATCTCACAACGTCGTTACCGAGCTGCATGATTAACTTCAGGTCGAAGAGCTCGGAGCATTCGATCAAAACTTGTTTGCAGCCTTAACAATCAAATTTCAGTTTATCCCTTATTATATGAAATGATCATATGAAATCTATATGAAAAGGGGTTGAACTAGCTAATGATTAAGTGTCTTTGGGAACAATAGGCTACTGGTAATAAGCTAGTAACAATGTGTTTATAACAGTTTATTAGCTCACTTACATTCAAAGGGTACTTGGGTTGTTGTTGGTTGTTATGCTAGCAGCTACAAAGCTAGCCTTCATACTACCTATTGTGCACAACACAGATGTTCATAGATTTATCCAGCTGGTAAAAGTTTCTTATACAACATATGAATCAGATTGACTGAGTGTGAATTATCCACAGATACCCAGTTAATAATTATGTCATATTTATAACCATCAGTTATTTTTCTCTTTCTCTTTCTTTTAAACTCTATTGATATTATATATATACATATACAGATATTTTTGATTAGTGTATGTGAAAGATAATTTTTTATATCTGCTTGTCAAATGTGTTGCTAATTTCCATGGCAACCATCTTCACTCATGTGAGTGCCTGGTTGTTGTACCGTACAGTGAGCCCTGTCCCTACAAGCAGCCAACACGGAGATCTGTTGTGTTCTGCAACTGCCTCTGGAGGATCCTGAAAGCAGACAAATATATTGAATTTCTACTGTAAGTCAGCCAGTAAATTCAGTTGATTGTCTGACTTTCTGCGACTCAGCGCTGTTGCCTCACAGCAGACGGGTCAGATCAGCTGCTCTTCAAACCTACTGATACAACAGAAAACACTTCATCAGTCACAGGACTCCGGTACGACAAAGTGGTTGTCAATAGCTCAATCTTGGTTGCTGAAAATACATTATATTGTATGTAAAAATAAATGTGTGGTTTAGCATTTGTGGAAATACACTTAATTTCTTTCTTCAAGAGAATAATCTGAGAAGATGTCAATCTCAGTTCTGTACATCAAGCACAGAGCTGCAGTCAGGTTGTGGTTAGCCTAGCTTAGCATAAAGACTTGAAGCAGGGGCAACAAGCCCGCCTGCTTCTGTCTGGAGTCCAAAAATACAACTAGCACCAACTATACACGACAAGAGAAATGCACACATGACAGTTTGTAGGTTCTTGGAGAGTTACACACTTGAACAGTTCTCTGCAAAAGAAATCCGATTCGTGTATTTCCAATGTTTCACTATTAGTTTAATATGATCAAGACAGTTGACTGTCAAAACTGTCAAGCAGGACTGTTACCATTTTACTGAAATGTAAGACAACGCTATTAAGTAAGATGTTATGTAAATCCAATAGGATCCAAAGGGAGTGGATGCATAATGTTCTACAGGACTGATTCCTATTAGAGTCTTGATGTACGTTTTGGTTTGTTGTTTTTTTCTGTCAGATTTATAATCAGTTGACATGAGCTACTAGCTATTTATAACGACCAACAACGGTGATGGTTTGCTGTTTCTATTGCTGTACATAGACATTTGTATCTTTATACTCATCAGTATATTCTGTGTGTAAACCCAGCCTGATGGTCTGGGTTGTTAGTTTGGTAAAACATGCTAATGTTTAGCATAGACTAAAAGACATTTTCAGCCAGGCCTGGAGCCTTACCATTTGCAAGTCCATACATCCACAACCTGAATAGACGAGAGGGTTCACTCTATATCCCACTGTTTACGTTGGTTGGCTAGAAGACAGAAATTTTACTGTATTTACATTTAAAACTTCATTGCTAAGTTTCAATGGATTGAACCCATGCCTCACGCCCATTTGGTACACTACAAGAGCTCTGACATAATAATAGAAAGTCTTTGTGAAAAAGTGGCTGCCATATGAATACCTTGGAAATACAGTCTAGGAGATT